TCAAAAAGATGTTTGAAGATCCTATCAAGGGGGAAACATCTGCTAGAAGTCTAAAGTCACTGCAGCAGGGGAGAGGTTCATTGCAGGACTATGTGACTGAATTCAGGCTGCGTAGCCAGGATTCCACGTGGAATGAACCAGCTCTAATGGACACGTTCCAGGATGGATTGTCTGAGGCCTTGCAGGATGAACTGGCGAGGGTGGACAGGCCACCGACGTTCGACACATGGGTCCACCTGTGCCTCCGGATAGACTCCTGGCTGCAGAGGCGAAGGCCTCGCCGTGTATTCCAGGAGACCACCAGCATGCCGGTTCAGCAAGGGACTGCAGTGGACTGGGAGGAGCCCATGGAGTTGGGTGCTGTCAGACCTCGAGTGTATTCTGTTATCTAGTCTGAGACTTCATTTATGTTATTTTTGGGCTCGCAGCCAGTTTGAGCCGAGAACTGATAAAGAGAGGCCTTTTAAGTTTGTCTGCCTGCCATCTGTTAACAAACGGAGAAGGGGGGACAGAACAATAAACTGTTAAAAATTGGAAGGGGAAAGAAACAGCTTGGGCTTATCCCAGCAAAATGGAATGGCTGTTGAATTAAAGTCTTCTGATTCCAGAAAAGGAAAATCCAACTGACTCTAGAACAAAGCAGTACTCCCAGAGGTGGGTTGCTCCTGGTTCGGTCTGGTTCAGCCAAACCAATAGTGGAATTCATGCCTGGGTTGCAGAACCGGCAGTGACCCAGGCCTGCCATGTCCTTGAATTGGTATCCTCGCCGCCGCTAGGCCGCTGCCATTTCGGTTTTTAGTGATTATATGTGTGCAGTTCACAGTAAATTGTTCTGCACATGCGTGAAGAACAATTTACATTGAACAGCACACATGCACGCATTGCAAACTGGTAGTAAAACCAGCAGTGACCCACCCCTGAGTACTCCCCTTGTGGAGAGCAAGTTTACAACTTGGAGCTTTTCCTGTGCGCAAGACTGCTGCTTTAATAACAGTGGAAGTCATGGCAGAAGAGTCCTTTTCCAGCTTCAGTTGGTACATTAGTTGTGGCCTTTCATGGAAGAAGAGCTTTTACTGAGGTAATTCATGCTCTTGTCACTTCATGACAAGACGAATGTAATTCGCTCTAGATGGGGCTGCCCTTGAGGGCCAATTGGGAGCTACAGCCAATTCAAAATCCAGTTGCACAGAGTAACAAGTGAAGCCTGCTTTAGCCCTGTAACAGTTGGTAACACCACTATTGCAGAACTGCTGTTGGTTGCCAGACAGCTTCTAAGTGAAATTTAAGGTGCTAAATATCTATGGAGATTCTCAGTCATCCAAGTCACGATTGTCTCAAAGGTGTTTTTCAAAAGGCAGTTGGGCTTGGTTTTTCAAACAAAGGAAAAACGAAATCCAGTTGCATTTTGGAAAAACACCTTTGGGACAATTTAAGGTGCGGATTATCTTCAGCAAAGCCCTATTTGGCTTCAGACTGGTTATTTGCATATGCTCATCTAATAAGAGCCAGCAGAATGTGCATTGGACGGGTGCCTCCTCCTGCATAGTTTGAGCAAGCAGGAACCTGGGGCAAGCCTCTCATGGCCCCCTCCTCTGGAAAACAGCTTACCTACAGGGGCAAGGATCTAAGGGATACAAGTCTTCCCATCTCTAAACAAAAGATAGTAGCAAAAAAAAAACATTTCTTTTTGCAATTCTGTCTGCAGACAATGTGAGTGAAATAGCTTCCAATTGTTGGTTTGCTTGTTTTTCTCTAGGCTCAACTGTCTATCATCAGCATCCCATTAGTTCTGGAGTTCTTGTTGGCTGCCTTAGTTTTTTTTTTAATTCCCAAACCTTTGTCTTTTAATTTACAGCTATAAATTTCAGCATGCTTCTAGAATTCTCTAAATATATAGAAAACTTGAATGTCGGGGATCTCCTTTTATTTGCAAACCGATAAGCCAGTCTGTATTTGCTGTTAACATAAATAGTTTTTAAAGACAGTCAACAGGGCCAGTGAAGGCTTCTCTAGTGATCCCTTTTAAACATGGGAGCCTTCATTAGGCTGCTTCAAATACTGGGAAGCTCCAGAGCTGCTGCTCCTAATGCCTTCTTGATATATAAGAATATTTCTGTTTGAATTTGAATTTTTGGTCATGCTCTGGGAGTAAGAAAGACTGCTGAATGAATCTGGAATGTTAGTCTGCATAATGAGACAATAACATTCTCACAAATACTTTCCTGTATTTGCTCAGCAGTTCAAATTTGATGTGGCAATAGCAGCTATTGTTTTAAATATGACTTGTGCATGATTCTGTAGTTTTAAAAAGGCAAGAAAGCCTTTATACTGTTTCAGGGATCGTGTAAAAGACAAGATTTGCCAATGCAGCCAAAAGCTACATGAGAAAAAGAAAGGGGAAGTTAATACATTTTAACATGTGGCATTTGACTTGAGACTCTTTATGAAGACTCAGAGGATAATGTAAAACACTAAAAATATAGCATTTGCCCGTTAATCATTTATATAGTTCCATTTATATCAGTGCATAGGGGTAAACAAGATAGTCCTAATTTTTATTAGGATGCTGTCGGCTGTTTCCAGCGGTGCCACGGACAGCATGCTCTGAAAAATAGCTGGCACTGCGATGTAGATGTTTGACACTGGAATCGATGCGTCTTAAGCTATCCACACAGAGGCTGCATGCTGTGAATTGCCACCAGGAGCCTTTTGCATGAAATGAGTGCTCCAGTGCTCAGCAATGGAAGACTTTGGAATGCAGTCTTTAAAGTGCCTTCGGCTGGGCTTTGAGTGTTGTTGCTTTGATCTTAATTCCAGCAGGAGATAAAAGAGAAAGGTCACTTGTTCTTGTGTGTACAGAGGAGACCGTGACTTTTGCTTGGTACCGGTATAATAGGGAGAAGGAGATCGATAGTTCAGGATGGTTTGTTATTTGCCCATACAAGTCTATTTCTAGAGTGCCCCCACAGAAGTGGTTTCTTGTGCATGGGAATGATAAGTTACGCACCAAGTGCAGGAACTCTTAACGTCATCCTCTCCCCACCCCACCCCCGCCTTTTTCCACGATCAGACTTCAGATTCTAGGCTAGATATGCGCCTCCATGATCTTGTTGTGCAAGGGCTGTGCATCCTCAGGGTTGTCGATGTGTTTCTCCTCTCGGTGTTGCCCATCTGAATAAACGTTGGATAAACCCTGCTCTGATTTCTGCAGTCTCTCTGTGTGCTATCAAAGTACATGGCCCTCTGCTTGTCCTCGTGGACCAAGAAATCCCTGCTGCACGAGGGCCAGGATGCCTGACTGAAACAGTGCTGGGAGGCACAGGATTGTTCACATAGGTGAGGAGAGCCTGGACGAAAGCTTCTCCAATAAATAGGTAAATTAGGGTATGAGTTCACATAGGCGTATTGCTTCTGCACTACAGCTGAAGAAGCCCTGTGTATGCCTGAGATGTTCTGTAGACAGGCCTCTCGATAGGATGGGAGCCGCATAGATTGCGAATGTAGCAGCTGTTTCTCCTTCCAACTTATACCATTGGCCTGCATACATTTCCTATTGCATGCATTGCTTGGCCTAAGGGCATCAGGAGAATGGTGGTGGACTCCATGATGGATCCCAGGCAGCAGTTTTGCTTTGGGGATCAAGCTAGCTTCGGGAAAGAAGTCCAGGACATCCCTGGAACTGGAAGACTTTGGTGGATGCCTCCAGATGCCTAGAGAATGGAACTGTTCATGCTGTTCCAAGGTTGATCTTGAAAGGCTAGCTGTATATGTCTCCTTTTCTCTCCCCAGCTCTAGTGGGTCGTATTCTTTATGTGCAAAGGGTCTACAAGTTCTGTTGTCCTTTGGGAAGGAATTATATATACAGGGATGAGGCAAATAGTGAACTTCCAAATTCTTCTTCTTGTCAGAAGAGAAACCTAGCCTTGACTCCTGGGTTGCACTGCTATGCTCCCCTTCTTTATACAGGTGATCATTCTGGTGGATTTTTTTCCCCCCATGGCCTCTGGACACGGGGAGCTTATGATTGTGCGGAGAAAGTTCCTGAAGAGCCCTGATTGGGGAATGAGGAGCATCACTAAGAGGACTTCCAATGTGTTTTCTGAGGTTAGCCTGAGATGTGGTTAGCAAATACTGTGGAGAGTGGTACACAGCAAAACCTGGAATAATCTTATCTTCAGAGCAGTTGCCTTGTAATTTCAGTGGATGGAGTATCGGTGAGTGCTCAATTGTCTCTCCGCAGCTTTCACTGGCTGGTCCCACAGTTTGCTGAGGTGCCAGAAGCAAGGGTGGAAGGTTCCTCCCAAGCTTCTCAGCTGTTGTAGTGTTGGAGGAATGAGCTGGCCTGTTTGATCCACTGGTGTTTTGAATCACAAATTGGGGAGTCCTTAAGGAGAAAGTTGTTTGGAAGTTTTCACTCCTACTAGACCAGTTCTCTATAGTGCGTGTAGCATTTTCCAGTGAATTCCCAACACTGGCTGTTGATACCATATTCTTGGCTGCCTGCAGCATCTTAAGCACATTGGCTTGAGCAGAGTTAGCAGTGACATCTGGTTTGTAAACACGAACAGGACTCTCCAGGTTCTGGACTCCATTAAAACAGCTGTAAATACCCTGGGAATACAAGATGAAACAAGAAAAGAATGACAAATTGTCTTGAGAAGGAATGACCCATGATGATACTAAACTAGCCTTTTTTCCCACACAGAGAACTCATAAATATTGAATAATTTCCTTTATCTGAGCAAAACTAAATGCTAAACCCATATAAACCTGTACATCAGATTCTTCATCTTTGCAATAGGAAAATTCAGAGAAAGCATTTTCTACTAAAATTAGTTAGGGAAGATTGAACAGAACTTTTTTTTTAAAAAAATCCTTTCTATTGTTGGCCTTATGTGGAAAATCTTGATTCCACAATGAAGATCCAACAGCTCACTAAATAGTGATTGGAAAGAACTGTTCCCTCTTCTACCATGAGCTGCTCATTCAGGCAGATGTTGTAGCATAATGAAGCTATCTTCTCTTTATCTCTCAGTATGGAATCTTGTGTTCAAGTTGTTAGCTTCATAACTGTCTTCATTCTGTATTTTAAAGTGTTTGCTGCTTAATTAAGTTTTGTAAAATATTCCTTCAGGACCCTAATAATGATTGTTAAGAGATGCAATGAATCTAGTGGCTGGTTAAGAAATTTCATGTAACTAGAATTCAGAAAATGGTTCTCAGATACATGACTTTAATTTGGGCATTTAAAGCTTTTAACAACAAAAGGAAATGAATGTTTTAATAGGTTAAAAACTCAAGATATATAAATAGTTATTTTCTGTTTGGCTTCTATTTATGCATGACTTGAAACATCAGTGTTTTATTATGTTTTTATTACTTAGCTAAGGTGTTGATAATGGAAAAGACAAAAGGACTTGAAAATGTATACGCCATATAAATGTAATAGAACTCAACAGGCAAATAAATTCTTGTTCAATAAGCATGATTTTTTTTCTTTCTTAGTAATTGTGGAAATTGTTTTCTAATTAATTTATTTTCAAATACATTTCACACAAATTAATATTAGTGGCACCTTTCTAATTTGTTTTTAGAAATTTTGACAGCAGACCCCACCTCATAAGTCTATACCAGGGATGTTTGTTGGGACAGGATTATTAGTAAGGCTGAAAACTCTCCAAAAGCAGTTTAGAATAAGTTTTTGGGGATTTCCCCAAATATCAGAATCCTCTACTGCTCTGCTTGGGGCAAGTTTGAAAACCAATGTAACCATAGTTGAGATATTGGGTGGGAAGTATCTTAAAATATGACAAGTTTTAAACAGTGAAAATTCTTGAGTCTTATATGCACAGGAGTAATTCTCATAGTCATCTTCCAGATTTTATTGCATCGTATGAACTGGCAATCATTTTAGTTTGTATAAACATTGTATTGCCTAAAACACTCATAATTTGCAGCTCTTCACTTCTTGTTGTAAGTGGAGACAGCCAAAGTATCTTCCTACCTACTAGAATTACTGAATTGTTTGGAATCAGACTACTATTATTCACACAATTTCATGAGAACCCTTACTAAGCATTTAAGCTGTCACAAGTTTAATAAGATTTAAAATACCCAGAGACAGCAGGAGGCCTTATGTGGAGTAGGGGGACGACGACAAATGATTGAATAACAAATAAGATTGCCCCTTATGCATCAGTTAGCTGAAGCTGAGTTTAATTGATTTATGGCAGCACTTTGATTAGACCGACTTAAAGCTGCAAACTTGACAAAGGAACTGAGAGAAAAGTAAATTTCTATTATTATTTATTATCACATTATTATTTACTGTATTAAATTTATTTGCTACTCAACTTGCCACATATTTATCCCAGAATTCCCAGCCAGTTCTGCTCCAAAGGATTTTTTTTTTTGGCTTTGATCACAATTTCCAATCCAAACAGACCATTGAAAATGTAGCCCATCAATTGTACTTTAAGCCCTTAGTCCATAAACTGACATTCAAGTATCACCTCCTTTGTTCTGGATCTCTCTGGAGACCCAAAGATCCGAAAACAGGGGAGATTTTGCATCTAGAGAAAAAAAAATCTCCTATCTCTTGCACACAATGATTTGAGAGTATTTTAACCAAAATATGGGAAGTAAAAATTAATTTCCATTTAAAAAGAGAAACAGTGTGTCATGTGTGCTCCTATTGACAAAATTGCTTTTTGAGGAAATATCTTGGCAACTCGGAGCCTAGAGCATCTGAACACATTGATGATGCCACTAATGTTTTGCTAGATGTCCTGTTGTGTAGAGCCATTTTTTAATTCTGTTTTTTTATCCTCATACTTGTCCTATTTTCATTTAAAAGAAAAAGGTATTTTAAACAAAGATAGTATCTAGAAATGGGTAGATAATTACTAAAGTTATACATCAATGTTCAGTATGACTTTAGTAAAATATACTAAGCAGATTATACCAAGTTTTTTTTATGATACAAAATTATAATTTATACAAGTATAAATTGGGAACCTAATGCAAAACTATTACTATATTATTACAAATGTTGAAAAGAAGAAAATGAAAAGCACCCTAAAATATAGATAGTTAATATGTAGAGTCAATTTTAGCATAGGATTTACAGTCTGTAAGGTGATGTTACCCCTAAAATCAAGAAAACAGCATCCAGTGAAGTGATGAGGCTGTTGAAATGGGAATTGGTGCCCTTGGAGGAATTGATCACTTCCAGCTTAATCTGTCTCTCAGGGCAGGTTTACACTTCATGCTGAGGAATATTTTAGTCATGGTTTACCAGATGAACCACAGTTGGTGGAGTTCACCCAGAGTGTTGGACTATAAGTCATGTTTCATAAATCACAGCAGCTGAATCCATATATTACTGCATAGTGCAGTATGTGGAACTCAGCCTCAGAATAGTTGTTGTGGAGAAAAGAGCACACTGACGAGTAGGTGGAACACAAATCTAATGAATGAATTAATACTTTAAATTGTTCTTTTTTTTAACAAACATTTATGCAAAAGAATAGCCCTAAAAATAAAGGGTATTTCCTGGGGGAACGGAAGAAGGATTTTGATAATGATTAGTATCAGTAACGTGCAGTCAGGGGAGGCAGGGCCTCACCACTGTCATCATGAAAAGAAAAGAAAATTTAAAAGGAAAAAGGCTG